AACACATCTCCGTAGCGCTAACCGACAGCCTTCCAACTTGGAAGGTTCAAGGTTATGGAAAAGACCAAAGAGGGGAAGGCAAATACTAAAATACCAATATTTGTTTAGAAACGAAAACTAGTCATTTCTCTTCAACCCCCCACTCGGCTCTCCCCGTGAAACAAACACATGCAAACGCTACATAGTATCGACATATTTTCTTTTTTTCTCGACGTGCCCAAACATACAAACCGTGCATCGATAATTTTCGAGAAACGGACAGGCGCTCAACCTCCTCCCCCCCCCCCCCTAAACGACTAGTTTTCAGTTCTAAATATATATCGGCATTTACGGATGGCCCCTAAGGGAGGCAAAAGGTCAGAGGGGAGTGCATGAACTAAGGGAGGCAAAAGGTCAGAGGGGAGTGCATGAATGGGTGTGTGTACAGGGGGGTGCAGATGTGTTATGTGTACGGGAGAGTGTGCATACGGGAATGTGTATGTGGGCCCGGGCCGGGCTAAAAGGGCTCATACAACATGCAGCATGGCATCACCATGACTACGCCATGACCGTACCGTGACAGTAAGGTGTACACGTATGCACGTTGTGTGTTTGTATGCAGAGCTCAGTATAAGCTATTGCCAGAGTTCATGTGCAAACATCCCAGCCTCGGAGAACCCCTGTCCCAAGACGACGGAGTACTGCGTCGGTCTAGTATCCAACTATCATTGCTTTGGTAAGCAGGTCAGGAATACACGTATTGTGCACCTACTATATACAGTCAAACCTCAGTTAACCACATACATCCGTTTCCACAGAAATACCTGGATAGGCGAGGGAATCAGATAATCTAACGCACATCCCGTATGTATGCATAGCATATGCTGTGAATTGGTAACCAACGATTTTCTTCCGGATATAAGGGGACCGGATAAAAGGGGACCGGATAAGCGAGGCCTGACTGTACCCTCGTTTCATGTGGAAACCGACTGCAGTGGCTGTGTGGACTTGCTTGCTGCTGCATTGCACTCGCGGCAGGCCTTTGCAACCAGCGATCCTGCAGGTGCCCGACCCCCACCCCCACCCCCCCGACCCCCCCCCCCCACCCCCCACTCGCGGCAGGCCTTTGCAACCAGCGATCCTGCAGGTGCCCGACCCCCCACCCCCTCCCCCCCCCCCCCCCACCCCCCACCCCCCTACACACATTCGTTCACACACGGACACACATGCACACACACTCATTCACACACATACCTGACCTGACCTGACCTTTGGCGCCCATCGCCGGAGGCGATGATAGCAATGCTACGGCAGAAGCCATAGCAACTTGTGCTGGGATTACACCATTCAACAGCTTGCAAGGCTGAAGAATTGACCGTCACTATTCAGCCTGATCTACACCATACAGCTATTTGGAGTGACATTTTCTGGCCAGTGAATCCCTATTTTTGGTCTTTTCATTTTTTTTCCCGCACACACATCACACCACATACTCCGGCATGCACTGGCTGTTGGTAACCACACACATACACATACACACACACATACACACACACACACACACACACACACACAAATGCATGCACACACATACATGCACACATACATCTTTTGAGGCATCAAAAGTGTTTCTGCTGACACACACACACACACACACAAACACACACACACACACATGCATGCACACTCATACATACACACATACACACGTGTTTGTGCATGTGTGTGTGTGCGTCTGTGTACATGCACACAAACATACAAACACACTCACCATGAAGACATACCAGCTGACAATTTTGGTGACTGACAACTTTACGAGTTTAGTAACTCATAAACTATTGAGTTCATGGTCGAGTCCGGTTAGAGTCCCGTTTCGCGCTGCAATCAGATGTCTTTTTGCACTAGTCAACAGCAGTCGATTCAATACGGCGTATGGATCCTTTCTTTTTGATTTGATTTTAATATGGGGCGAGTGGTGCGAAGATTTTATTCCAAAGGAGTTCTATTTGAGCAGGTGGAAGCTTTAAATCCTTGCTGTTTGCTTTTACTGATGGATGGTCGTTTGTGTGCATGTGTGTGTGTGCATGTGCGTGTGTGTGCGTGTGTGCACGCATGTGTGCGTGTGTGTGTGTGTGTGCGATGCCTGCTGCCGTATTCTTATTTCCGTATTGACTGTCCCTCCCCAGATCAATGCTACCATGGAACTAAACAAGGTTCCACAGGAAAATGCATCTGTAATCAGGGATATTTTGGTGCACATTGTGAAAAAAGTAAGTTGTTTGCGCCGGCGAGTAGATTTGCCTTAAAACCAGACTGCATTGAGTTCGCTAAATCTCGGCAATCTTCGGCCATGCTCCACCTCTCTGCACTGGCATGCTCCACCTCTCTGCACTGGCATGCTCCACCTCTCTGCACTGGCATGCTCCACCTCTCTGCACTGGCCATGCTCCACCTCTCTGGACTGCCCATGCTCCACCTCTCTGCACTGTGCACTGGCTGCACAGAATCCACGGCTGTTTGAATAAGTAGGCTCTGTGCATGCCCTGCTCTTGGACTGTACATGCTTTGTGCATGGACCGTGGATGCGTTGTGCATGGACTGTGCATGCTCAGTGCATGCTCATTGCATGCTCAGTGCATGGGCAGTGTATGGACTGTGCATCTAGACTCTTCGCTCCGGCAAAATCCTGCTCTAGCAGTCGACTAGACTCTCGTAGACTCTTCGCTCCGGCAAGATCCTGCTCTAGCAGTCGACTAGACTCTCGTAGACTCTTCGCTCCGGCAAGATCCTGCTCTAGCAGTCGACTAGACTCTCGTAGACTCTTCGCTCCGGCAAGACCCTGCTCCGGCAGTGACTATCCGGCCGACCCTGGATCTCTCTCCGTAGCCTCTCACTCCGTGTGTGCATGTGTGTGTGCATGTGTTTTGTGTGTGCATGTGTGTGTGTGTGTGTGTGTGTGTGTGTGTGTGTGTGTGTGTGTGTGTGTGTGTGTGCATGTTTATATGCATGCGCTTGTTTCCCACAGCCTCGTGCCTGGGAACAACCCTGACAATGATCCCTGGAGTTGCAAACTATCAACAGTCCGTTCAGAAGTGTCAGAACCACAAAGAGGCAGACTCTACCCAAACCTGGGTCCTCATCCCGTTCCAGTTTGGTGGCTGTGCAAAAGATTTCCTTCAACTGTTGCCAGCGAGTTTTGGATTCTCCTCTCTTCTGCCAGTGTGGACAAGCTCCAGGACCAGAACAGGGTTCCACTACCAGGATAACTTAGTGCCCACCAATCCGGCTAGTATCGCCAAGCCTACCTTCTGTATTCCAAGTGAGTGCAGGTTGTCATGGTAACTCTTTTGCTGCTCATTTCCGTTGGCGTAGTAACTCTTTCCACTGACACTATTTGTGCAAGTAAGCCAAATTACAGTACGACCGCTCAAGGCCTTGACCTTCAGAATCTGGTCTTTGATACCAGGTGGTCTGCTTATCCAGGGTCATATGGCTGGAAATTGCATCCCTTGGTCCTGGTTTCAGTGGTCTTCTAGGACAGGTGGTCACCTTACCAAGTGGTCGCCTTGACAGGTTGTTACTGTATGCTAGGCTATTGCTAGTAGTCTAGTCATAACACTTATTGATCTGTGGACGCCTTCAAAATACATTTAGACCGAATTGGGCTCAAACCCGATTCCAGTTCTGCGAGAAATGACTTTTGGACACACTGGTGCTCTTCTCTATACATGTACTCATTAGTTCCCGTGTGTGTGTGTGTGTGTGTGTGTGTGTGTGTGTGTGTGTGTGTGTGTGTGTGTGTGCGTGGATCTCGTTTTCTTCTTTCCGCACACCACACAGGCCAGCACATCTGTCACCAGGGGGACAACGAGTACGTGGTGGTGAAGTTCAGTGCCGGCAGCAAAAACGGTGTAAACCTTTTTAGCGCCGCAGTTGTCTGCTCCTCTCACCGCTTTGCGATAATGGGAGAGGGACTCCTGACACCCAATTCACAAGCCACTTGCGCTAGTGGACTCTTGAAGGCCAATGAGGTAGCTTGGCTTCTGTCTAATCCCCATCAGCCATTGCGCGAAGGACAACTTTACAAAAAGACCAACGGCCAATCCGATTATTCCTACAAAACTGTGAACAGTATTCTGTGCATGATCCGTAAGTTGAAATTGCTATTGTGTACTTTGTAGAACAGTAACTTGTTTCATAGTATAAGGTAATGTTGATCCCCACCTTCTCCCTTCTCCAATTCTTCCCCTGCCGGCTCCGTGTGGGTGACAGGTGCAGCAGCTAGCACGTACTAGTCTGAGCAATGGCCCGTTTGCTTGCTGTGTGACAAGTGCAGGTGCCATTGCAGGCATGTTGCCATTTCGGAGATTAGCGTAACCCCATACCTCAAGTCTGACCTCTCCAGCTTTTCCAGCCCGCTGCTATAAGCCCATTGAGCAATGACGTAATTTGTGCCATAAGCACCCCACACAGCCACCTGGGCATGGTCGTCTGGGCTGTTGAACAATGCATTGCTGAGCGTACTCACATGCATTACTCATACCTCCCATATTTGGCAATGCACAATGGGCTTATTCTACACCACACTGTCATGGTATTATCAAGAGTTCAGTAATAAGCGCCCAAGAGCGTGCAACTCCTGATACCCTTTCTATGGTGTACGCCGAAGGTGAAACCTCACATCACGTGGTGTAGCGTCACAGTTGTATGTTTCCAGCCCGTGTTTAGCGAGCAGCGGAGTAATAAAAAGCACTCACTGACAGAAACTCACGGCAAGTATGGAAATCCCCAGCATGATTATGGCAGATATTCGGATTGCGCGCACGCTATCCTTCGTTTGAACGCAGTACGGACTACGAAACGTACCTGAAACGCGTGGTGTGAGTTTTCGCCGTCGGAGACCCCATATGCAGAGTTGCACACTCTTGGGAGGTCATACACTCTCGGGTCAGAGAGATGAAAAAGAGGGAAATCTGAAGAAAAGCCAGGGCCCTAGGTACACCAATTATAGACTGGATTTACCAGAGTCTTACGCCGCACTGGAGACTTGGAGCGCCACCACCTTTCAAGGATCAGGGTGCAGATGCAGCTCCTAAAGCGGTTGGAGGTGAGTAGATCAGCTCACCAGCATGTGGTCAAAGACCGAAAATCCCATTCACTGCATCCATGTTTTCCTGGTGTATATAGTGCTGGATTCAAGAGGGATGGGTGTACTGTTTTTCTATGCTGAATTAACCATTGCGTATGAGCCGCACCCAGATATATCTGTCACGGAACACACACACATCCACCCTGTGTTTTATCACCGTTAACGTTGCTAGTATAAGCCACATGGACTTTTTTGGGAGTGAGGGTGGTGACTAACTGGTGACTAACTGGTGTAATATCGGTCCCCTCCAGAGCAGGAGCTCCTCTTTTGTTATGCGTTAGCTGTAGTGAGCAGGTTTTGAATCACAAGACTGGTTCATACAGTGCTGGCAACTGAAATCCGACCCCCCCCCCCCCCCCGCCTTAGCGGTGCGCTAGCCGCGTTAGCAATTCGTACGAGACGCCAGGGGGGTCGGATTTCAGTTGCCAGCAGTGTACATGTTAGGTTATACAGGCGTCTACTGGAGAAGTGTGCATTTTCAGAGTCGCAGTAAGTAGATATGCGATGGGCAGACTGCGTGGTGAACATTTCAACAAGAGTAGAGAGAGTGCAAATGACCCAGCCTGTCAATATGCTAGAGAGAAATAACTGCCAATCAGTTCAATCCTGGCGGCATCACGTCTTAGTTAGGCCCCTGTGCCCCTAGTGTGCATTTTGTAGGATATAAAGAATACTAAGGTATTCCAATATTCGACCGGAGAATATCAGAGTACAGTCAGACCTCGCTAATCCGGGCCTCTTTTCTCCGGATCGCTCGGCATCCGGAAGAAAATTGTTGGTTACCAATTTACAGCATTTGCCATGCATACATGCAGTATGTGTGTGTTCGATTATCCGATTCCCTCGCCTATCCGGATATTTTTTATGGAAAGCAGATGTGTAGGGATATTCGAGGTCTGACTGTACTTCGTTTGCTATCTCACTGCCAACTTTACACACTAATTTTTCTTTCCCTTGCGCCCTTTTGTCCTGCCATGTGTAGCTCTCGTCAATAATCAAAGTCGCTAAGCGGAGGCTGAAAAATGATTATGACAAACGACCATTGGCGACGACAACACCGACCAACTACATGACAGCATGATGTCGTCGTGTAACGCGATGCAAGTAATCCCATGATAGTGTAAGCCCATGCAAGCACAGGCACACACCACTGTGTGATCCAAAGCGCACGCAAGCATGCACACAGCCGGTCACCTCTATCTATATTCTTGACCGCGTACTTCATTCTTGCCACTTTGCACACCCATATCAGTGAGCAAAAATGAATTCTTTTTGCATTTTTCCAATTGCAAACGGTCGTGGCTCTTGCCACCCCTGCAGAAACCTGGTTTCCTCCCATCCCCTCTACACTAGGCATGTATGGGGGCGGTGGTGCGGTATGGGTGGAGGCCTTGCATCTTTAACCAGCAGCAACACCGCCATCATCACCACGACTAGCAGCCGAAGCGGGATGCAGTCGTGTGATTGGCCTCGTCACCTGCCAGCTAACCCCCCCCCCCCCCCCCATCCCACACAAACACCCAGCAGCAAATTGTTTTGTACCTGACTCTCTCTCTCTCTCTCTCTCTATCTATCTCTCTCTCTCTCCCTCTCTCTCTCTCTCGCTCTCTCTCATGAGTTGTTTCTGCACTGTTCATGCCCGGTTGTCACACTTACTCTTTATTTTAGTTCTCACTTTTTGTAATACTTACCACAAGTTACCCGTCATGTGTCACACTTCTTTGGATTTTTAACCTTTGTTTTTCCCTTGATCTCTTTAGTTCCGTATTTCCACTGATGATCGGAGCGTGAAAATCGATTTTGGAAACACACAAAACCAAACCTTGAACAAATTGTCATGTTGCGTGGTGATGTCTGCGGCATTCGTACTTTTCATAGCTATAAATAAATAAAACTATGAACTCCCTACTCTAATTGGCCCCGTCCTCTGCCTGACCCCCCCCCCCCCTCCCAACTCTGATTGACCACCCCCCCCCCCCCACCCACCCCTTCCCTACTCAGATTGATCACCCCCCCCCCCCCCCCCGTAATACTAGTTATTTACTGCGATAATGCTAAAGGCAATGCTCATAATATAATACCACTTGTAATGCTCACACTACTCCATAATACCAGTTTGAAATTTGGAAAAGTCGATTTAAGAAGGCCGTCTTGGATCAAGGCCAAAGCGAAGAAGAAAAAAACTTAAACAGCAGTGAGCATGTTGTCTGAAACAATCAACTGAGAAGGTTGATTTGCAACGTCAAATCTCCCGACGAAGCCGCATGGGTTCAGATGCACGATTTTCGGAACTGGACCTAGCCAGCTTCATACATGACACCGTTGTCGACCGGCAATTATGCTTGTAATGCCAATTTTGCATGCGAAATGGT